GTGCCACCGCTGCGCAGCACCCGGAGCGAGAGCCCGCAGCCCCGGAGAAAATGTGGGTTTTGCAGAAATTCTTGGCAGTCCTCCCACAGCTTCCCTACTCCTGAAATTAAAGGATCGAGCCGCAGCAACCCCTCCGTCTAAATTAAAACGAGCTATATTTACTGTTCATGCTAATTGAATTATATTAACTCGGAGCTGGATGATAAGCAGAGCCGTCCTTTACAGTTCCTGGGTTTAATATGTTTAGCATTCAGACAAATGCACGCCAGTGTGTCATCGTGTTCAAAGCAGAGGAATTTGGTCCTGGGCTATTTTCATCCTGCCCTGACAGGGCTGGTCAGGAAACTCTGGGAGGATTGTGGTGAGGAAGCACTGGTGAGTCCAGTACAAATGTGGCATTTCTTCCTCCAGCACTGGGGAGTGGAAACCCTGCATTGGTGGTGCCAGATGGTGATGGAGCAGGGAGATGGTGGTGCCATGTAGGCACTGAGCAGAAGGTGGTACTGGGGTCGGGAGTGGCTTCTCCCCCCGATCCATCTCCCCCCAGTCCATACCCCCCAACTCTGCAGGGCTAATGTAGGGTAGGATCCAGCTTCATCCTGTTCCTGCTGCAGGATCCAGTCCTTGCGGTGCCATCCCCACTGTCCCCATCCAGGTGGGTGCAGAGCCAGGCACATCCTGCACCACCCACCCAAAAGCTGGGGCAGGGAAAAGGGATCCAGGCTGGGGCAGAGCACTATGAGGAGACAGGACAGAGATATCGCTGGAGAAGGAGAACATGCCATCAGCCCGTATCCCATCGAGAGGAACTTAATTCAAAAAAGTTGGGCAGGAGGCTTCAATAAGACCAAGGGACCCTGCCAAGAGTCACACTTCCTATATTGAAGTGCATAAAAGCTGGACATGTAAGACATGAAGAAAGCACTGTCAGGGTAGGCCAGTGCCAGCCAGCAAATATATAACAGTGGGAACATGAAATATTAATCACCGGTGCATAAAACAATAGGAAAAACCTGCCTTTTGAGGCAGCCATCAATCCTCACTCAGCAGGGAACATCAAGAGACGCTAATACCATACAGGTTCTGCTTAAATATTTGCCTTCCTTAATGCTCACGCAAGAAGCATTTGCTTTGAAGTTGAAAATAGACTGTAAATGTCTTTTGTGTGAGATGAAACATGATAAGACATGAAACCAGGAGGCTAAACTGTAGTTAATCACGGTGGTTTTACAAGCAACAAATCATTATTGTAGACAGTAAAGTCTATTGCTTGAAAGCGTGCGCCACGAGGCTCAGCAGAGAGGAGAGCCCTGGCCGGGCATCACCTGCCACCAGTGGGCTTTTGGGTTGTGGTCCATTGAGGTGGCCACTGGAGCAGTTGTGGCACTGGACCGGTGCTCTTGCAGGGCTGGCACAACCCAAAGCATCTTTTCCCAGCAAGGCCTTTCCTGGGGACCACAGAGCGAGCTATTTTGGGGATGGTTCATCCATTTCCACTCCAGGGCGCAGTGAGGGCAGGAGATGCTGTGGGCATCCCTGCAGAAGGCCACCATTCCAGAGGCTGGCATAGGCTCTGGCTGCACCCCCAGCTTAGGATGGGAGTGATTCATCCCACCCTGGGCAGACTCTGGGAGATCCATGCAGGGAAGCCATCCCCAAAAACTTGGGATGCTCTTGGGTTGAGGATGGAGACCGTGGTGGACTTGGCTCTTCAGGCAGAGGAAGGGCAGCACCACTGTCAGCCCAGGCCATATCCCTGCTGCGAAGCACATGAGTGTGCATGCACAGCAGCACACACAGCCAGCCCGGGACAGGTATCTCCCATATCAAAAATGAAGATCATGATTAGCAGCGATGTGCACTTGGGAGCGTGAGATAAGACCCCAAAGCAAGCATATAAGTATGACTGATTAACAAATAAACCCTCACTAATTGCCTTAAAAAGTCGGATCTCAACAGCCGGGGAAGGAAAAAAAAAAAAAGAAAGATTTAAATTTTCCTTGGGCTAAACATTTTTCCAGCCCGCTCAGACTCGCTCTGAATGTTTCCAGTCATTATCTCCCTAATTAACGCGCACCGCAAACTGAAAACAAATTTCCCCACCTCGTGGCTCTGGGAGGTTCAGCCGGATTAAACAAACCTCAGGAACCAGAGCAGCGATTGCCCGGCGAGAGGCATCTCAGGGTGGGAGGCAGCCTGGAATAGGGAGAGATGAAGTTATTATCGGTGAACGAAGTGGAATAAGCCTTTAATTTTTTCCAGCTGTTGCTGGATGTGCTGAGGGACAGGTGAGCTCCCCGGGACAGAGCGGAGAGCCGGGCGATGGGGAGACACCTCACCTCCTGACGGCCCCCTGTGTCTCAGGGAAATCAGGGGCATGTAGTGACTTCTTAATGACCATCACTTTATTTTCTGTAATTGACACAAACCCAGCTCCAGCCCTTACTGCATTTTTCACAGCCCCAAAAGTAATTCAGAAAATCCCTCTTAAGCAAACTGATGCACCAGAGCCCACCACTGGTGCAGCTTAGGGTTGTGGCTGGGGCCAAAGTTGCCCATTTGCCAGGACCAGACTAAGCAGGGGCATCCAAACTGGGCTGTGCTCCCTGTCCCAAGGGATACCCCAATGTGTAAAACCCTAAAAGTGATGCTTTGGGGTCTTGGTGTGTGTTTACAGCCTGATGGACCCTCCTGCCAGCAGCTTGCCATCCTGCCAGCACTGGGGAGCCTGCAGGTTCAGCTGGAGTGGGAAAAACTGTTGATCAAAGGGTAAAATTAGATAAAATGACACAAACAGAAAAGAAGGAGCCGTCCCTTCAAGACCAGGCAGTCTGCTTGAAGTACAAGTTAAAATTTTAGGTAAAAGCAGCCGGCCTGACCGGCCAGCGTGCTCCTACAGAGGCGCTGGCTCCAAGGAATAATGGTAATTAGAGCTTCCTAATGCCTCCAGGTCATTTTCTTTTTCCTTGCGTAACGTAATTTCTATAGGGCTTGTCGTCTTTATTAGGAGAATTAATCTAAATCTCACTGTGCTCTGGCTGCTTTGCCATCCACCGGAGCCATCCCGAGGAGGGTCAAAGAGGCAGGTCCTCTTCGTGGCATGCAAATAAAAAAATTAAAAAATTAAAAAGGGAGGTCAGCTGGAGGCTACGGCGGAGGAAATTAATGATTTTTTAAACAACGAGGGAAGTTTGCGTTGGCCTGGTAACGTAATTCAATTTCTGTCATTAAACCCGCATCGCTGATGTGGGGCCGCTTTTACCCAACTAAGCAAAATCCTCTTATTAAGCCAGAATTGTCATTAGCGTAATAATAAAATGAGGATGAATGGCAGAGGGGAAGGACTGGCCGAAGCCCGGAGGAGGTGATGGGGATGCCCGGTGCCACAGAGCAAGGGAAGGGCAAAGGAGGTTTCCTCCCTCCCCGAGCACCCACAGTGGTCCAGGGAAAGGATGAGGGAACCTCCTGCTCCCCGGGATGCCTGGGGGTGCTCGGGGGAGCTGGGAAGGGTGGGATCTGCCCTGCAGGGTCGCATCCTGCATCCTTAGCACCAGCCAAAATCCCTGCCAGCATCAGCACCTCCAGCCAGATTTCCAGGAAAACGTCCCATCTGTTTTTAAACCGTCTTGAGATGGTTTTGGTGGGGGGGGGTTGGTTTTTTTTTTGCTTCTGGGTGATTTTCCTTCTGGCTGCTGCAAGGATGGATGCACAGGAAGGCAAAGCCAACCCCACCTCATCCTTCCCTCCCTGCAGAGCCTGGGGAAGGGTTTGGAAAAGCACTTGCACCCTCCCGTGCCTGCGTCCACGAACTGCAAGGCAGCGTGGAGACACGGCTGGGTCCCCCGGGGCTGGACAACCCACGGGTGGGAGGACTCATGGGCAACCCTTCGCCCCTGGCGCTCTCGGAGAGGTTTCCTTCCACCGCAGCATCTCGGAGGAAACCACCCCAAAAATACCTTCCTGCCCAGCGCTGCGGGTGAGGGAGAGCGGGGCAGGAGGTGGCCCCAGGATGGATGGTCCTGTGGTGCTCCAGGGTGGGAAGTAAAAGGGGCAGCTCCTGACCTCGTGTGGAGGTCACCAGGCCCAGGTCAAAGCAGGAGATCAGGGGATTAATCGGTCGAAAAGGAGCTTGAACCTTCAGGCTGAAACCTGATTAGTAATTAGAGCCGGAGGTCAACCCACGCAGGGGGAAGGTGATGAGGGCGATGCCACGGGGCATCCCACCCAGGGATCCCACCCTAGCCACCCCCTAGGAGGGAGACATGGCACTTGGCTCCTGAGCTCCAGAGCAGACTTTACCCCCTTGGAGGAGGGACCTGGACTCTGGCAAAGTCCAACTCAAGTCTCCAGCCTCCACGAACTCGGTATCCAACCCCAATGGGCTGAAGAGACCTTTGCGAGGCAGAGAGGGTTGTAGCTTTCTATCTTGCAGGCAGCTTAGCGCAAGGAAACTATCATGAGACAGCACTAAAACTCATATCCCCTCTGCCCAGAAAATCCCGCCAGCCCAGAAGGTATCAAGAACACACTATGAAACAAGCTAAAATCAGCTTCAGTTGGGCCAAGACCGTAACTGGAGTGAAAAGGAAACCTGCCCCGGTGAAAGTTTTGACCCCAAGAATGCCCAAAGGCCTCCAATACCTCAGCGTCCCCCTTTCACACAGCAGAACCCAAGGCAGCACTAACAGATCCAGGACAAAACCATACGCATCGACCTCAGGGCAACCCTTTGTGTTGTGAGACCACGCTGGATGCAAGACTCCAGCTGCACCACGGGACTTGGATCCGTGGCTGGAGATGAGAGACATCAGATGAAACCTGCTCCCAGCTTTCTGGCCAGAGCTTTGGAGACACAGAAACCTGTCCTGCGTTCATACTTGCCTCGCAGCATCCCACCACTGCATCCAAAACTGGGAAAACCGAGCAGAGAAGGAATCCCAGGCCAGATACACCAGGGTGCCATCAACAGGTTGTTGGGTTTTTTTTAAAAAAAGAGGTTATTTCTCCAACACAGTGAATCAGTGCTTTATTTTCGGTTCTGAAAGAGGTACAAGACCAGCAGTGAGCTCCAGATAACGAGCTGGGGCGTTGCACTTTTTATCGGTGCCCTCCTAATGGTGGGGTTGAGGCAGAACATGAGGAGAAAAGTCCCTCATGTGCCCCGAGCGCAGCTGGACCATAACAGCAGCAGCACAGCCCCACCAACCCACCCACACATCGCACTGGAGTCACCCCACCAGGTCCACGGGTCACCAAAAGATTTTTGCCATCTTCAAAAACCCTTGTGTACGGATTTCCAAGAGGATTTGGTTTGTGGGCGGGGAGGGAAGGCCACAGATCAGATGCTGAATTAAGGAGAAATCAGTGCCATGGCCCTTCTGAGCGCAAAGGGAGTGGCTGATGTGATTCCTAAAGCCTGAGTTGTGCAAAAGTGCAGCCCGTGAGCCCGATGCTGGCCTCCCTCGCACCACGAGGAGGAACCGTTAGTGGCCCTGGAGTTTATAGCACAGTGATAAACCTGGTGTAAGGCCAAGTCAGGATCAAGCCCAGAGGATGTGGGAATACTAGAACTGTCTCTACTGTGTGCAAGATGGGCAGAGGGGTAAAATACCTGGATGCTGTCAGGGGGAATCATAAAATCATCCTTGCCCTAGCATCCTGGAAGGGTTTATATAGGGCAATTCATACCATGATCCCAGCCCAGAATAGCACCAGAGATTAACCCAGGCTCTGACCTCAGCTAATCCAGCGTTACTCCCTGGAAATGCCAGCGGAGCCACTCTGCATTGCGTGGGTGCCGTGGCGGAATGGGCCCCTCCTGGCTGTGGTCTGGAGAGTGTCCTGGCTCGGCTGAAGTCAACAGCAAAACCGCTGCAGAGCTCAGCAGAGGCAGGACAGCAGGCATGTGTGCTGCCTTAATGGAGAAAGCCAAAAGGACCAGTAGTAGCTGCTATCGGCAGCGATAAGGATGCTGGGGAGAAGAGACAGTCGAGGAGGGGGAAAAAGTGGGTAAAATTAAGAGCTGTAGCCTTTGTGTCACCCCAATTAGTGTGAAACACCCCCAGGCACAGGTGACACAACCCACCACCCAGCAAGTGCAGAGCTTCAGCAGTCCCCTTTTCCCCCCACCTCCCCCGTGCTCCTCCCAGCATCCCAAATCAGAGCAGCCCTGAGGGGGAACCAGCCCGGGGAAACCAGGAGCTTCTTTGGAGTTTCTCTTGCTCCCGGAGCCTCCTTGACCAGAGGGTGCCCCCCAAGGTGTGAACACCAGATGAGCCCAAGAGCAGTGTGCCAAGTCGAGCAGCTCGCTTACTTCTCCTTCAGGTCGTTGTCTGCTTTGCCTAAAAGAGGGGGAGAAAAAAATATAAAATATCAGGGCTCGTGTTTCTTGCTCCAGAACCCTCAGCCCCTTTTATAGGGTTATTTTGCTATGTGCAGCTAACATCTCTCAACCACTGCAGTCCGACGAGCGGGACAGCGAGTCGTGGGCAGGATGTTGCCATGAACTCAACCTCCCAAAGCGTTTTCCTGACTCGGGGGAAGCAAACAGCACGACAACCACCGCGGCAAGAAGCCCTGCCCTGCCCCACAGCTCCCCTCCCTACCCGTAGGGCAGCTCTGAACAGAGTTCCCACTTGATTTCCCCAGGGGAATGAGCCAACAAACTCTCCCAGCCCTGTTTTTGCCACCGCAGGAGCTCCCTGCCCTTCCTTTGCACCACCAGCAGGAACCCCCCAACGCTTGGCTGCCCCTTGGACACGCTGAGAGCTGTGGCCACATCCAGGAGCTCCAGGACACTCTGCATTTCACTCTGGGAGGTCAGAGAGTCCCCACCGGCCGAGCAGACCGATGCACATGAGATTTATTTAGGATGCACGTGGCTCCTTGGCTTATCTGAAGGGCCAGCTACGCCCCGCCAAAAGCAGCGCATCGCACTCAGCGCAGCCAGGCTATCAGCAGCTTCCTCCCCCCAAAAATAACTATGTGGGCTGAAACAGCTGCCAAACCACACTTTTTACCTTTCGGGACAAATTTCAGCGAGCTACTGAATATTCAGAAGCGGGACTGCCCCCTCTTTGGCCCGTCGTTGGAAAGCAGTGCATCGCACACAGCGCGGCCAGGCTATCAGCAGCTTCCCCCCAAAAATAACTATGTGGGCTGAAACAGCTGCCAAACCACACATTTTACCTTTCGGGACAAATTTCAGCGAGCTACTGAATATTCAGAAGCGGGACTGCCCCCTCTTTGGCCCGTCGTTGAGGAACTCGTGGCCCAGCCCGTTGCCACACTTGCCACAAGAGACCTAGAAAATGCAAGGAGAGGGTTGGATTGCAAGCGGTCTTTCTCAGCAGACAGAAAAAACAAAAAAACTGTGGTTTGGGGTTTTTTGCTGCTTCCTGAAGGTTTCAGAACTGTCACCTTTAAAGCCCCCGGGCGCTCCTTGCGCTTGGCCACGCTGTCCTCATGGATGGTCTCGGTGAAGGCTGGCCAGGGGGATGAGTGCTCGTACTTGGCACGGCTGGAGAAGAGCTCATGGCCACACTTGGCACAGACATAGATGCCTGGGGAGAGTGGCAGGAGAGGGGTCAGTGCTTGGGGGGCAGCCCCCCAGCCCCGCTCCCACCTGGCCCCCAGCAGTGATTTGCCAGTGATCCCCAGGGGGTGGGGGACACACGTCAGCAGGGTGACATGGGGACACAGATTGGACTTTGCCCATGTGGGCCACTGCCTGCTGCTGCCGTTGCCAGACCCCCATGGCCAGGGGGGCGAGTGGGAGCTTTTGGGACACGGGGCAGGACCCACATCTCCTATAGGACCTCCTCTACAGGATGGGTCCAAACCAGCCCCTACAGGGACCCCCCCAAGTCCCACCTTTGCAGGAAGCATCTTCCCCATCCCCCCCCACCGGCCCCATGCGGGGGGTCCCCTATCAAGGAACCCCCCAGCCCATATCCCACTGGTGGAGGGTGTCCCACAAGAAGGACACTCACCTCCCCACC